TCCCACCTGTTGTAGGATAAATATGGCTGCTTTCATCTGCATGCTTTGTCTTAACTGAAAATGACTGAAATAGTCTAGGTTTTTATGCTCTATCCATTGAATACCTTGATTTTTGTTCCTTTTTTTTCTTTTTTTTTTTTTTTTTTTTTTTGGGCTGGGCATGGTGGTGCATGCCTTTAGTCCCAGAGAGGCAGGTGGATCTCTCTGACTTCAAGGCCAGCCTGGTCTACATAGTGAGTTCTAGACCAGCTACAGGGCGACCCTGTCTCAAAAACACAAACAAAAAAATATAGGTCTTTTAGCTAATTCAAGGCACATATTTATATGGAAATGGCCTCTGCATGTGCGCTATGTCACACGTGGGCAGGTGGGGGCCCTGCCCATTTTTAAAAATATGATTTTCATAAGGATGGAATGTTACTTTTTTTAAAAATCCCATCTGTCAGTTATACTTAAATCTTTAGGATGTTTGAGATTTTGTGAAGAGAAGTTTTTTTTTTTTGAGACAAGGTCTCTCTGTAGTCCCAGCTGGCCTGGAACTTGTGATGTAGACCAGGCTGGCCTTGAACTCACAGAGATCTGCCTGCCTCTGCCTCCCAAGTGCTGGGACTAAAGCTACCATGCCTGGCTCAAGATAAGTCTTTTTTTGACTCTGAAATCATAGAAATTATGTCATAGAATTTACTCATTTTATTTCCATTTGAACCTTAAGTTTGGTTATGTTTATAGTCTTCAGTATTGGACAAAAAATAATTTAGGGCATGCATTCCTGACTGAGCCAAGAAAAGGGCAGTGCTGAGGGATCACAAGAAATCCAACTATGTCCCTTGTAAGAATGATTTAGAGGGTCTTGTATGACCTGTTCAAAAGCTTGGGTCATTTCATTGTAAAGGAGAGGAAGAGTTATTGAAAGGATTTAATCAGAAAATTAAAGCCAATTTATATTGTTAGAAAAATGACTGTCAGGGCCAGTGAGATGGCTCAGTGGGTAAAGGCACTTGCTGCTCAAGCCTGGCAAACTGAGTTCCATCCCCAGAAGCTGCACTAAGGTGGAAGGAGAGAGCTGTCTCTGAAAAATTGTCTTCTGATCTCCACACATCTTCTCCCACATTATGCACATACAACACATACAATAGGAAAGGAAGTGAGGGAGAAACAGAGACAGAGATGGACTGACCGACTGACTGGAAGCATTTGGAGGATGACTGCAGGGAAGCCTGGAGGCATATCTACAGATCTTCAAGGGTTACTACCACCTGTTTTTTTAAAAAATCTGATTTTCCTGGGCTGGTGAGATGGCTCAGCAGGTAAAAGTGCTTGCCACCAAGCCTGATTTGTGTTGGATCCTCAGAACCCACATGGTGGAAGGTGAGACTTGACCCCTGAAAGCTATCCTCTGACCTTTCATGTGCACCATGTCACACATTAAGCATGTGTGTGTGTGTGTGGGCACACACACACACATACACAAATTTTAAAAAATTTAATCTGATTTTCAGAGTACTGGAATTTCTGTTTCAAAGAATTATTTGTTATTTCTCTTGATAGTTACAAGAATGTAGTAATCCTGATGAGCTTCAAGGAGAGGAAAAAGGAGTTAATGAAGAATGTCAGGTAACTGAAAAAGAAAATACAGAACATTTTACCACCTCTACAACTGCTTCTGATTCATCTGTAGCACTTAAAGCACTAAAAATAGATACTTGTGGTTTAGTTGAGAGCTTTCACCAAGAGTGTCCTGATGTTTCTCAAATGGTATTTGAAAAATCTCAGCAACCTGAAGCAAAAATGGAACCTGAGCTTATAAAAGAGGACAGTGCTGCCTACTCAGCTGAAGAAAAGGACAATAAAAAAGAACCAGCAATAAAGGAAAAAGAATTGGATGGAGATCACCCGTCTTCATTATTGAAGAAAACTGTAGTTCAAAACACATCTGATTCTGACAGCATAAGAGAAACTAACATGCAGGACGGAAGTGTGCAGATTATTAAAGATCATACAACTCATTGTGCATTCAGTTTTCAGAATTCTTTGTTATATGATTTGGATTAATTCTATAAAATTTCAAAATATTTATTTTAGACCTAAAATAGTTTCTGTTAACCATAAAAATGATGCATAAGTAAAAATTTGTAGTTTGGGGCCTGGAAAGATGGCTTAGCCAGTTAAGAACCCAGACTTTGGGGGCTGGAGAGATGGCTCAGTGGTTAAGAACACTGGTTGTTCTTGCAGAAGACCCAGGTTTGAATCCCAGCACCCACATGGCAGCTAACAACTATCCTTAATTCCAGTCCCAAGGGACCCGACAGCTTCTTCTGACCTCTGAGGGCATTGCATGACACGGGTGCACTTAACCTGCATGTAGGTAATACATACACATAAAATAAAAATAATAAAATTTAAAAAAAAAAAAGAAAAAGAACCCAGACTGCTCTTGCAGAGGACCTGAGTTCGATTCTCAGCACCCACATTAGAAGTTTCCAGGGGGATCTGATGCCTCTGGCCCCTACAGGCACCTGCACTTACCCACATATAGATACACACACACATAATTCAAAAATTTTTTTAATTTTGCAGTTTTGATTCCAACAGGGAAGCTGGAAGCCAGATGTGGTAGCACGTACCTGTAATCCCCAAACTCCAAGCACTGTGAACACCCCAATGGTCAGTTCAAAGCCAGGCTCAACTACATTAATGAATTAGGGGCCAGCCTGGGCTACATGAAACTCTGTTTTTTATAAAAAGGTATATGTGGAAAAGTTTTTCTAATGGAGAGTAATATACATTTATTTAGTATGTGTAGTGTAGGAGTACACATGTGCCACAGCATGCATGTGGAGGTCAGAAGAAACTCAGTTTTCCTTCTACCAAGTGGTTCCTAGTAATTGAACTCAGGTCATCAGGCTTGGTGGGAAACCCCTTTACCTAACACCGAGCTATCTCTCTGGCCCTAATTTTGAGAGGCAGGATCTTGCTATTTAGCCATGGTTGGCTTGGTACTTCATATGTTGCCTACTTTGGCCTCAAACTTGTGGCCCTCTTCCTGCCTGTCTCCTGAGCACTGGTACTATATGCAGCATGTACACTCATGCCAGGATTTTAAAACAGTAGTTGTAATGCAACATATATATATATATGCATCTGTGTTTTGTTTCCTTTGTTTATAATACTTCAATAAAGTTTCAAAATAAATATTCACTGAGTTGTCATAAATTCTCAAAATGAAATTAGGAATATGAGTATGTGTGTGGGAAGGAGTAGAAACAGCTATTTGCTTGTAAGTCTAGGATGTATTTATGCTGGAAATAAGTTTTCTTAGAGAAAATAGAAATTTACTAACACTAATGATCTAAACTAGAAGTATCAAATGAAATTGTTTTTGCCTCAATTACATATGTTTGTATAGATCTGTCAAACTATGTATATGTTAAGGTAATCATTTGGGTATGGCAGGGTTGCTTAGCCTGTCACCAAACCTGACAACTTGAGTTTAATCCCTGGGACTCAGGATGGAAAGAAAGAGACCCTACTCCCTCAAGTTGTCCTCTGACCTCCACACCTGCACGTGCACTGGGTGTGAGCATGAGCACTAAAAATGTAATTTAAAATTTATTTTTTGAGGCAGGGTCTCTCTGTAGCCCCAGCTGGCCTGGAACTCTTGTAGACCAAGCTGGCCTGGATCTCAGAGAGATCTACCTGCTTCTTCCTCTCAAGTGCTGGGGCTAAAGGCATGCACCACCATGCCAGGCTGCATAAATTTTTTTAAAGGGCAATCTTTTTCAAAATACAATTTTAAATTTCTTAGAAGTTACTGTTTAAGTATTAAAACATCTTTTCATTTTATAAAATACAAGAATTTTAGAACAAATTCTAAAAATCTGACAATTTGACAGAAATATTGTCTTATATAAAAAGCTGCATTTTGGACTCAATTTCTTTTGTCCTAATAGATTTTTTTTCCTCCCAAAATTTAGGACAGCACAAAAACATAGAAAATCTGTTAATGTAATCACTAGCTTCAAGGCTAGCTGTACCACACACAGCTACTAATTGAGACTGGCCTTAGCTCACTCCTAGAGATCACCTAATTTCTTTAGTTATCTGAAGTAGTGATATCAGGTCAGGACACCAAAAACCTGTGTAAAGCATGGAGATCCTAATTTACATTTATAATACTTCCTCTATAAAATCACTGCTCACTGGGGATGTAGCCTGGGGGCAAACAGCCCTTGCTGTCATCCCTGCTGACAAGAATGCTGACTTGGGAGAGTTATAAACACAAGGCCAGCCAGGACTATGTATCCAGATAAAACAAAAGCTAGCAAGATGGCTTAGTGGGTAAAGGGCCTGAGTTCCCTTCTGGGACCCACATAGAATATCCTGACTTATACAAGTGCACTGTGGCACATGGTAAGCTCGTGCACATACACATGCTCACACAAATATGTCAATAGAAAAAAAATTAAAAACCCAAACCAGGGGCTGGAGAGATGGCTCAGCGGATAAGAACACTGTTCTTGCAGAAGACCTAGGTTCAAATCGCACACCCACATGGCAGCTAACAACTGTCCGTAACTCCAGTTCCAGGGGATCTGACGGCTTCTTCTGTCCTCTGCAGGCATTGCATGACACAGGTGCACTTACCTACATGCAGGCAATACATGCAAACATATAAAATATTAAAAAAAAAAAACAAACCCAAACCAAGCTGTCATGGTCCTTGATCCCAGTACTCAGGAAGCAGAGGCAGGTGTATCTCTGTGAGTTCAAGGCCAGCCTGGTCTACATAGTGAGTTCCAGGCCAGCTGGGGCTACAGGGAGACACCGTCTCAAAAAGACCAAAAAAAAACCCCAACAAACCCCAAAAAGCACGAGCTTGAAATGTGAAAATGTGATGATAGTATAAATGCAGCTCATAAAAGCAGCTTCACTTTACAAGAGCACATGTGCTTTTGAGTATGAGAAGTATGGCAGTAATAACTTTTCTTAGGTTAAAATGACTAAGTCATCTACACAGAAATTAGTCCTTTATGAGTAATTTTGGGTGAATGCAATTATGTTATAGGGAAATACTATATAAAATAGGAAGTAAATTTTAAGGTTGCTTCCACTTACTGCATCTGTCCTTTTAAAATACTTCAGGCCGGACGTGGTGGCACAGGCATTTAATCCCAGCACTCCGGAGGCAGAGGCAGGCGGATCTCTGTGAGTGCAAGGCCAGCCTGGTCTACATAGTGAGTTCCAGGACAGCTGGGGCTACAGGGAGACCCTGTCTCAAAAAGACCCAAAAAAGTACTTCAGTTAATGCTGGGACCGGTACTTGTTGCACTTTGGCAAGTGTGAACTTTGTATCATTTCTGGCCTTGAACAATTTAAGGCAGCATTCCCCTTACACAGCAGCTTTTCTTATTATTATCTGTTTGCCTGGTTAATTTGAAAGCCAGTTTCTTTCAAGGGGAATGCCCTGTCATGAGAGTTGTTTTTTGAGACAGGGTCTCCCTGTAGCCCCAGCTGTCCTGGAACTCACTATGTAGACCAGGCTGGCCTTGGAATCACAGAGATCCGCCTGCCTCTGCCTCCCAAGTGCTGGGACTACAGGCATGAGCAGGGTTTTTATTTTAAACTCATACAGTGTATAGGTAGTAAATATTAAGATGTAATGCTCATGTCTAAAACTTCCGTGTCTTTATTGGTATAAATAAAACATTCTGAAAAATGATTTGAAACCTTTTTATGCAAAAATGAGTATTTTATTTTGGTAGCACTTAAAAGGAAAAAAAAAATCAAAACCATTGTATTTCTACATTGAGGTGAAAACAATGTTTAAACTTCCTTATCAATCAAATTACATTCCAAAAGAAAGAGTGTTATATGAAGGTTTCAAAGCACAGGCAAGTTTTAACACAATAGGTACAGGAATCCATAATACTGAAAATGACTGTTTGACAGGGTGTTCAACAAACAAGTTATTAAACCAGTGAAACAATGCCTTCCTAATAACAGTGTCAACAGTGAAACTGGGCTTGATCCATTAATACTCTAATGATTTCATTTAATACTTTTTACTGCTATGACAGTTTTAAATAAATTTTGCTGTACTTAAAATAAGTTTTGAAAGTGGAAAAGTGTACAAAGTTTCAGATAAAAAGATTAACAGATGCAATTTAAATAAAATTTCCCTGTTTCTTTTTATCAATGATAATCATTACCTTTTAGGAGATACAGACTGAGTTCTAAAACCCAACTCCCAAAATGAAAAGTTCAGTTTGAAATCTTAGAGATAACTGGAAAAGATTACTGTATTTGGACACCTTTTACAAGAAATTTTTTAATGTAGTAAAGCAGAAACCAGTTCCTATACCCCTTTATTCAATTATACTTCTTGTTGGGACAAATATCAAAAATAGAAGACTGTCACTTTTGCTTTTGTAATTATGATTTTTTCTCACTGCAGTCTTCTATAACTTTTACAGAGTTCATGGTCCCTAATATCTCCCCACCCTCCATTTTTCCTAGGTGGGGAAATGGCTGGCGTAGTAAACTTCTCACTGATAACTAGAGTTTTGGGAAACATGTACTGTTTGTTGTTATTTAAGAGTGACTCAATTTGGGCACTCTGGGTGGATGGCCTACATGTTTTCTTGTGATGCATACCGCAGTCTCCAGCATGAAAAATCCTAGGAGCTTGAGGAACCAGGACTTTCCAGAATTTAGGAAGACAAGATACAGTCAAATACTGAAGAGTCCAGTCCCAGTTATAGTCATCATAAGTACAGAAAGTGTCTGTGCACGCAATCAGTTTCTGATATGTATCTCGGGTCAGGGCTAAACCCATATTGTGCTCTGTGGATTTCCAAGTTTTCACATCTACCTTGTCAGCAATGCCATGGAAACTTCGACTGGCAGTGTAGGTCCCTAGAGAGAGAACATCACACCCAGGGCACTCCTGTTGCTTCAATTTCCACATCATTTTGAAGACATGGTAAAAGTCTGGGGCTAAGTAGTGATCCTCTTCCAGAAAAACTATAAGGCCAGCATAATCCTGAAGAACTTTAACTCTCTCCCATACAAAATGCAGCTTCCACCACCAATGATGTTTGGTTTGGGAGAATTTGGCCTCTCTGTAATGACCAAAGGAGTCCGGGTACTCGGCATTGATGCACCCCAATTTCAAAGCTGCGTTCTTCTTTAGGTCTCGGGGACAATCTCTGGGGTCACTACCCGGAAACTCACTGGGATATAACTGAATGCTGAACGGAAAGAACACCTGCAGAACCGGACAGAAGTCCACGCCAGCGATCAGATGGTTGATCTCTGACGACCAGTAGTCATGGCTAAAGATGACCAGGACTTCGTCGATGCCCTGGGCTTTTCGAAGGGAGTCCAGCAGCAGTCTGAGGTACTCGGGCCGGTTATGCACCTGGACCACCAGCACCAGTTCCCCGGGGGTCCAGGTGCCGTCGTTACCTACATTCTTAAGCGTCTGATCGAAGTTCAGCTGGTACACCAGGGAGCGGTACCGCAGAGTCAGGTTGTCCACCTCGAGCCGCGGTGCCGCGGGGACCGGAGGAGCCGCCGACTCGTTGGAGACCCTGCGGATGCCCACGGACATGGCGAGATGACCCGCACCCCGCGGGAGCTCGGCGTCCAGCAGCGGCGGGGCGAGGGCCTCGTTCTTCCTTTGTCGCCCATTGCTGCTCCACAGGACGAAGCCGCAAGCGGCCACCACGAGCGTCAGGATTAGCACCTTCCGTTTGTAGATGCGGAACCTCATGGTCTCCGGGGCCGGGAGCGCGGGTGTGCGGGCGGGCGCGGAAAGAAGCTGGCGGCCTCGGCACGGAAGGGGCGGGCGGGCAGCGCCGTCGCCTTGGCCTGCAGCCCTCGGAACTGGCCCCCGCGGCGGCCCTCGCTAACTCATCTCCTGACCCGGGCGTCCTGGGGCCCGAAGGCTCTCAACTGCCTCGCGCTGCCCGGGCTCCGCACATCCTCTCCCGGCAGCTGCAGCTCGAGCAGCCGTCCTGCCGCTACGAGCCGCGGCTCAGCGTCGCTTCGATCCTCGCCATCCAGCGCCCGAGTCCCCGGAAGAAGCCCAGTCGCGGCCGCCGCACCCAGGCTCCGTTACCTGAGCCGCCTGCGGCCCTGTGTCCTCTGGGCGCTCATCTTCGCTCCGCCCGCCGACCGCGGAGACCCAGCGCCGCAGCCTCGCCCGGCTCCGCCAGCGACCGTTCTGACAAGCAACGACCAGCCCGCGAGCGCCACGGCCCTCCGGCCCACACCCTCGGCCCCGCCCCGCATGCCGTGGGTTGGCGCTTCCCTGGAGCGTCCGGAGGCGGTGCCCCGGCAGAGGCCACTGCCTATTGGCTCGCTGTCGCGTCACTCAAGTTCACTTCCCACTTCCGCTCCATTCTTCCTTTTCCTGTTCGTCGCCTGCGGCTTGAGGCTGAGACTTTGGACGCCGGATCTTTTGGTAAGTCAAGAGCCGAGCAGAGGCGGCTCTCTCGCGGGCCTTGGTTGTCCCGAGGCCCGGAACGGACTGCGCTTGTGGGGGAGCAGGGAGGCCAGAATCCCTGTCCGGCGCCATCGAGGTCGTAGACCGGCGTCCTCTCAGGGGCGCTCCCGCATGGCGGCTACTGGGCCGAGAGGCACGCGGGCTGCTAACGACACGTCAGCCTTCTAGGCGGCTGGCGAGTGACCGACGTTCGGAGGGCAAAATGAAACCATTCTGACGCAGTTCTGGGAGAAGGAACAGGGCGGGTCGTAGCAGAAACCCTCCATCCTGTCGTGCCTCAAGTAGAAAATGGAAGCGGGTGCGGAGAAGCCAGGCTTTCTCCAGACAACCCTGCATTTTCCTTTTAGGGAACTTTCATTACTTAGGCGCCAAATGAGCCCACTTTGTACAGAGAGCTTTTTTTTTTTTTTTCCTTTGGAGTCCGTTTGACTCTAAGCCCAGGTGGGCCTCGAACCCGGCCATCCTCCTGCCTCAGCCACCCGGAACATTTGCCACCACCCCCGCAGTTGCTGTTTTTCTCTAGTTTGGTAAATGTTTTTGTTTCTCTGTAAGCGTGAGGTGGTAGGGATTGAGTCAGGGTATTTAAGCACTTAGTCAAGCACTCTACCACTGCGTTACATCCCCAGCCCGGGTCCATAACAAAAGCGACCCAAAAAGGTGTACACGTGCGTTGCCATTTATTGATGTGGAAAATGAGTGGTTGCGTTTGTACATTTATTTTTATGTGTTTTGCCTGTATGTATGTACGTGTACCACGTGCATGCAAACTCACGGCCAGGTCACAAGAGGGGCCCCTGGAACTGGAGTTAAGGACACTTGTTAGCCACTATGTGGGTGCTGCGAACCAACCCTGGTCCCTCTGGAAGAGCAATAAGGTCTTAACCGCTGAGCCATCTCTCCAGCCCGTTTATACTTTTTTTTTTGGATGATTTACTGTTTTTATGTATTCCTAAAAGTTGTATCTGTTTAGCACTTTACCATTTCAGAATGCTTAATGTCTGTTACTTTATTACAGTTTCATCGTGTAAGACACCTCTACTGCAAAGATGGTCAATGTACCTAAAACCCGAAGAACTTTCTGTAAGAAGTGTGGTAAGCATCAGCCTCACAAAGTGACCCAGTATAAGAAGGGCAAGGATTCGCTGTATGCCCAAGGAAAACGGCGCTATGACCGGAAGCAGAGTGGCTATGGTGGACAGACAAAGCCAATTTTCCGAAAGAAGGCCAAAACCACAAAGAAGATTGTGCTGAGGCTTGAGTGTGTAGAGCCCAACTGCAGGTCCAAGAGGATGCTGGCCATCAAGAGGTGCAAGCACTTTGAACTGGGAGGAGACAAGAAGAGAAAGGGCCAAGTGATCCAGTTCTAAAACTCCTGTACTGTACTGAATGAAGCAGTAGAAAAATCCCGTCAGAAAATAAAATTCTATTGTTTTGTTTCAATTAAACGTGCATGATTTTCTCTTTTTAAAATACTATTTTTATTTATGTGTATGATTGTATTGCCTGCATGTTAAGTGACCTGTCATTCCATGCCCACATCTGAAGAAGGTGTCATCCCCTGGAACTGGAGTTACCCATGGTTTTTAGCAGCCATGTGGGTGGTTTTGCTTTCTTTTTTTTTTTTTTTTTTTTTTTGAGACAGGGTCTCCCTGTAGCCCCAGCTGTCCTGGAACTCACTATGTAGACCAGGCCAGCCTCAACTCACAAAGATCCACCTGCCTCTGCCTCCCAAGTGCTGGGATTAAAGGTGTGTGCCACCACACCCGGCTTTTTTTGGGGGGGGGGTCTTTTTGAGAGGGTCTCCCTGTAGCCCCAACTGTCCTGGAACTATGTAGACTAGGCTGGCCTTGAACTCACAGAGATCCTCCTGGGATTAAAAGCGTGCACTACCACGCCCGGCTTCTTCTAAATTTTATGCATATGCATTTATTGCCTGCATGTAGGTAAGTGTACTTGTGTTGTGCAATGCCCGCAGAGGACGAAAGGGACTGTTGGATCCCCTGGAACTGGAGTTATGGACAATTGTTAGCTGCCACGTGGGTGCTAGGATTTGAAGCCGGGTCTTCTGCAAAAATAGCCAGGGTTCTTAACTGCTGAGCCATCTCTCCAGCCCCCGTTTTCTTTTTAAATGTATTTGAGACCTCTTGAGTGTTAGAAGTACAGACATGCACCAAACTCCATTTATGTGGTGCTGCTTTTGAAATCCAGGGCTTCCAAGGCATGTACTGTACCAACTGCCCCACTAGCAGTTAGACTGAGATAATCCAGTAATAGCTGCTGAATGATGAGTATACATATATTGCACGTATACATTCATTTCCCAGGTAGGGTGGCACAAGATTTCATTCTGCTACTCAGAATGGTTTGCAATCTAAAATAATTGTTTCCGATATCAAGAGTGCTCTTGACCTTGGATAAAAGACCATAGACCATTGTGTGTTGGGTGAATTCATGGTCAAAAATTAAATTTTTTGCTGGGAGAATTTGACCATTAGCAATAAAAATTTAATCAAAGAAGTAATTCTCTAAGGGATAGAACACATGTGATATGAAAGTAGAGGGAGAAATACTGGGAGTAGGGTGGTAGGGGAAAGAAGGTCAGGGGGTTGGTGAGCCAAAACTAGAATGTATAAAGCCACATAGGAGCCTATTTTGTAACTAAAGAAATATGAAAAATTACTCCTGGATTAATGCCTCATCCCAGAAGAACCAGCTTTGAGTAGAAACTTAGAGATAACATGAAAGCAAACTTTCTCACCAGTGGTGGAGGTGCCAGGGCCTAGCATACACTAGGCAAGTGCTCACCACTGAACTATGACCATTTGAGAGCTGATCTCACTACGTAGCCCTGGCTGGCCTCCAACTCAGATCTGCCTGCCTCTGCTTCCCAAGTTCTGGGATTAAAGGTGTGCATCTCTATGCCTAGCTTTGTCCTCACGTTTTTACATGTGTGTTTTGCCTGTATGCCTGCCTTTAAGTGCTTGCAGAGGACAGAAGAGGGAGTCAGATCTTCTGGAACTGGACTTAAGCAGCCACTACGTGGGTGCTGGGAACCAATCCAGCTCTTGGAGAGTAATAAGTGCACTTTACTGTGTGATGTCTCCAGCCCCTTTTATCCTCATTCTTGAAAATTTTGACAAAATGTTCAACACATTTAAAATACTTAGGAATATTCAAGTTTTTAGAAAAGGAAAAAAATCTAGAGGTCGTTAATTTCAAACTCCAGCAACAATGTGCTAACAGTGCAGAAGGTTTCTTCCAGTAGCTTTATATTTATTCCCCCAAACCAGTCAAGAGGTTACTGCAGTGGTCTAGTAGACAGGGGGTTTTGAAATAGAGCAATGGGAGGGGCTGGAGAGATGGTTCAATGGTTAAGAACACTATGTTCTTGCGGAAGACCCAGGTTTGAATCCCAGCACCCACATGGCAGTTAACAACTGTCTGTAACTACAGTTCCAGGGGATCCGATTGCCTCTTAGGTCCTCTGTGGGCATTGCACAACATGGGTACACTTACCTACACACAGGCAATACACACATACACATAAAAATAAGCTTTAAGAAATAAAAAATGAGCAATGGGAAATGAAATCATAGCAGTCACTGTTGAATTGCATGTTCTAGGATTTCTTTCAAGTATGTTCTATTCCCTATCCCCACAATCTGATCCAGTTTTTTTGTTTGCTCTATTATAGCCTTAGCCTGGAACTTACTGTATGTAGACCAGGTTAGACTGAAATTCAGATTCCCCTGCCTTCCAAGTGCTGGGCTTAAAGATGTATACCAGCAGCCTTGGCTCCCGTTCAGTCATTCTTTAGTATATCGCTAGAGAATTTTCTAAATTACAAACCACCACCCCCCCCCCTTTTTTTTTTGAGGTGGGATCTGACCATGTAGCCCTGGCTGGACAGGATTTGAGCAAACAAGATCCACCTGCCTCTGCTTTCCAAGGGCTGAGATTAAACTCATGTGTGACCAAACCCACCTTTTTTCCTTTTTTTTGAGACAGTGTCCTATGTATCCCAAGCTGGCCTTCAATTTGTTATGTAGCTGAATTTGTGATCCTCCTGCCTCTACCTGGGATTACAGGTGAGTGCCACTACACCCAGATAATGGTTTCTGATGGAACTCAGGGATTTAAGCATGTTAAGACTCTACCAAGTGAGTCATATCCCAGGCCCAAACAAACATGTTTAGTGACACATACTCTCTAGCAAATCCTCAAGTAATGATAAAAAACTTTTATTAAAAGTAAAAATAGGGGTTGGATGCCAGGTGTGCTGGTGCACACCTTTAATCCCAGCACTCGGGAGGCAGAGGCAGGAGGATCTCTGTGAGTTCAAGGCCAGCCTGGTCCACATAGTGAGTTCCAGGACAGCTGGAGCTACAGGGAGACCCTGTCTCAAAAGACCCCCCCCCCCGCACCAAAAAAAAAAAGGAGGTTGGAGAGATGGCTCAGCAGTTAAGAGCACTGACTGCTCTTGCAGAGGACCTGGATTCAGTTCCCAGCACTCACATCCTTAACTCCAGTTGCAGAGGATCCAATGCTCTCTTCTGGACTCCTGGGTCACTACACGACACAGATGCACTTACATACATGCAAACAAGACACTCATTCACATAAAAATAAAATTTTAAGTAGAAAGTTTCTGCTTTATCTTAAAAAAAGACGAACTGCCGTACTCAGTCCCTGGTGAGTATACAGATTATGCCTAAAAGAAACACAAAAAAATTGTGTTTATAGCGATGCACAGAGATTGGGCACCCCCTTTTATTTGAAAAGCTTGGGACGAGAGGTGTTTGGGATATTTTTCTTTCCAGATTTCACAATATTTGTATACACTTTTTGAACTTTTTCTGAGATGTGGTTATGTCTTCTCACCCCAAGTACAGCTTGGTGAACCCATGACTTTAAATACGGTTTCATATAGGAGCATGGGCAACTTATGTGAGTCTATACTACCAAAGGAAAAGCTTTCCCAACAACTATTAAGTGTCTATAAATCCTTGGGGAGGGGTGTAGCCTCACAAACCCCTCATTCTAGCAAGCCCTTCCACCCTTTCATAATGGAATGGAATGGTTAATGAGCTCAATTTTGTCCAGGTCTCATGTGGGTAATCCCAGATGCTGACAGTTTAAGAGTAAATGCCACATCATGCCTGGACAGCATTCCACAGTACAAAATGAGACATCCTGGGGATGGGACCAAGCCAAAACTTAAAATTCCTTTATGTTTTATGTGTACTTTGTACACACATGAATTTCATAAATATCTCAGCATGCCTGTTTTAGCTGGGACCTGTCAGATGAAATAAGGTGTAAAATTTTTCATGTTGTGTCATACATGCCAGTGCTCAAAGTATCAGAATTTGGATGAAGGTTGCTAAAACTTACACTTTTTGCTGTTCTTGGTTTTTTAATTTTTTATTGAGACAGGGTCTCCCTGTAGCCCCAGCTGGCCTGGAACTCACTATGTAGAGCAGGCTGGCTTCAATCTCAGAGAGATCCACCTGTCCACCTGTCTCTGACTCCTGGGATCAAAGGTGTACACCACCACACCCAGCTCCTTATTATATTTTTTAAGGTTTTTGTGTGTGTGATGGAGTGGGGTGGGGTTGGGGGGATGACAATTTGAGAGTTGGTTTTCTCCTTCCACCATGTGGGTACCAGGGATGGAAGTCAGGTTGTCAGGCTTAGTGGCAGGCACCTTTACCTGTCAGGCCATCTTGCCTGCCTGAGAACATTCTTATGATTTCTGTCATTAGGGTAAATACTTGTTAACTTAAAGATAAAAGATGTAGCTCATGCTAGCATGCACAAAGCCCTGGTTTCTTTAGCACAAAGCTGGGGGGAAAAAAGATTAACCTACAGTCCATCCTGGGTACTTCATGCAGAAAGCAACACTGCAATAATAAATTTACTTCACAATAAAATTAAATTCCATCTTAAAAGAAATTCAGTTTTAATAAAATTACATATAAATATACAAAGAGTTTCCCTTTCTCCAATTTGTCACTGCTAGATTATATCACTGTTAAAGCATAAATAAGTAAGTTGCTCTCTAAATGAAATGTCTTTTTTTTTTTTTTCTTTTTCTTTTTGAGACAGGGTCTCCCTGTAGCCCCAGCTGTCCTGGAACTCACTATGTAGACCAGATAACTCAGAGATCCGCCTGCCTCTGCCTCCCCAGTGCTAGGATTAAAGGTGTGCGCCACCACACCCGGCCCCATGAAATGTCTTTTTATGGCACCATTAATTACTTTAACGTATCAGAAAAATTTACATAACAGGTTAGAGAACAAAAGTAAGAGATAATAGGTGCTTCAGTTCCACCCATATTATCTACTAGGACCACAGTGTGGGCAACAGAATGTAGATTCATGGTAGTAGTTCCTTGAATGAAAGAGTCTACACAGAATCTTCCACAAACACAGGTTTTTGCTGTATCCAAATCTTGGCAAAGATGGAAAGGAATGATCTGAGGGCCATATGGAATCCTGACAGAAAAAAAAAAAATTATGTTACTAGATTCCAAACTTCATATATTTGGACAATAATTAGAACACTGAATTATAATGATATAAAAACAAAGTATAGGGCTAGAGAGATGGCTCAGCAGTTAAAAGCACTAAATAAAACATTAAAAAATATATATACTGAGAGTCTCCTTATATAATACTTTCTTTTTATTTTTTGTTATTTTCAAAAATATTTATTATTTTACAAGTGTGAGTTTTATCGCCCACATGTGTGTAAGGGCATCTAGCCCCTGGATCCATTGGAACTGGAGTTACAGATGATTGTTAGCCACCATGTGGGTTTGGAATTGAACCCTAATCCTCTGCAAGAAGTCAGTGCTCTTAACTACTGAATCATCTCTCCAGCCCTTGGAATATTGGTATATTGTTTTATTTTCCCAACTGCTAAGAATTAAACAAATACATTAAAAAAATCCATTGACATACTATGAACCTAAGAGGGTCGATCTACTGTATACTATTTCATAAACACATTTCAGCACAATCACATAATAGCATAATCAACTAAGAATGAAAATTCATTTGTCCTCACCTGGCGTGGTGGCAACACGCCTTTAATCCCAGTACGGGGGGGGGGGGGGGGGGGGGGCAGAGACAGGCTGATCTCTGTGGCCTAAATAGTGAATTCTAGGTCAGCTGGGGCTATAGGGAAACCCTATCTCAAAAAGAAAAAAAAAAAAAAAAAGAAAATTCATTTGTCCGTTTCATGAATTTAAAATATCTAACACAAAATAGCTTATCTCCAGAGATTCTGAAGTAGATGATCTGAGGTATAATCTAGGCCTTGAATCTTCCTTCCCTCTCCCATTTATATAGGTATCAGGTCCTCTACAAGTCAGGCAAGCACTCAAACCACTGAGCTCACCCCAGCCTCAAAGGAAGAATAAATTTGGAGATGTCCTATCTTTATAAATTATTCAGTAATGTTTTCTCTCATCCAAGTACTAACCCGTCCTGACAAGACTGGGTATATTCAAGTTGATATGGCTGTTATATTTCTACTTTATATTATTTAAAAGCTCTTCTACTGCTTTTAACAACACTGATGGATCTCTAGGTACCAGATCAACAAATTTATACAACTAGTAAGCATTTATTGAGAACTTTGGTGAGCTAAGCACTACTCTAGGTAATTTTTTGTTTGTTTGTCTTTTTGAGACAGTGTCTCCCTGTAGCCCCAGCTGTCCTGGAACTCACTATGTAGCCCAGGCTAGCCTTGAACTCACAGAGATCCGCCTGCTTCTGCCTCCCGAGTGCTGGGATTAAAGGTGTGCGCCACCATGCCTGCCTACTCTAGGTAAATTTATGTTCCTAGTTAAGGAACAATGCTTTAAAACAATGATTCTTAAATTGTGGTCCCCTGACCAGCAGCATCAGCATCAATAGGTAAATTATTAGAGAAGCAAGTTCTTCAGGCCTAAAACTTACTGACTCCAAATCTAAAGCTATAAATCGTAATCTTTTTAAAATAACCACTGTTTCAATAAGCATTCTTTTGATGCACTTTAAATCTTGAGAATCACTGTCTAAAAACAATATAGTTCTTACTTTTAAACCATAACATTAAATCAGTAACTAGTAGTTACTGCCTTTGGGAGGAACCAAAGTTTGTCAGTTGTCCTGAGACTGACTTGGAAGCTGGTGTGAAATGCAGGTTCTCTGAAACAGAATTGGCCACTAAAACTCATGGGTGCACATCAGGGAACTATAATATAGCTAAGTTTGGGGGGGGTTTTTTTGTATTTTTATATTTATAAATAATAGAAATTTTTTCCTCATTTTCTATAGGCTGTGAAGGAAAGGTTAAGGAAAGGTACCATAACGACAGGACCAGTTACTGTCTGAGGGTTGTATCCTCCTGAAAGATATGACCTCAGAGAGCAGAAGGCAGAAGAGTCAGAGCAAAGCTGGGGTTCTGAATTATAGCTAGTTGTAGGTTAGAATTAGCTAAGAAGTTTAAGAAAACAAAAAAAGGTCCTAAGGGAAAAATAAGTAACAAAAAGCCTTTGCTCCACATTCATAGATCTATTTAATTGGTCGGAAGTAGGGTCTGATCTTAAGGGTTTTTTTTTGGTCTTTTTGAGTCACGGTCTCCCTGTAGCCCCTGCTGGCCTGGAGCTCACTATGTAGACCAGCCTGTCTCTGCCACCCCAGAGTATTAAGATTAAAGACGTGTGCCACTACACCTGGCCTACAATCTTAACTTCTAAAAGCTTTTCAGGCCAGGTGTGGTAGCGCATGCCTTTAATCCCAGCCCTTGGGAGGCAAAGGCAGGTGGAGAGGCAGGTGGAGCTCTGTGAATTCAAGGCCAGCCTGGTCTACGCAGTGAGGTCCAAGCCAGCCCCAGTACAGGGAGACTCTGTCTCAAAAAGAAGTTTGGGAAACAATGTTAGGTATTAAGAATTCTGTTTTGTGGGGGCTGGAGAGATGGCTCAGCGGTTAAGAGCACTGACTGCTCTTGTAGAGGACCTGGGTTCAAGTCCCAGGACCCACATGGTGGTTAACAACCAACTGTAGCTCCAGTCCCAGGGGAAGTGATGCCTTCTTCTGACCTCCACAGGCACTCCATGACAGGGGTGCACTTACACACATGCAGGCAATACACTCATTTGTATAAAATAAAAATAATTTAAAAAATATATAAAAAGAATTCTGTTTTGAAAAAAGAATTCTTTCTTTTTTTGAGACAAACTCTCACTACGTACCCAACTGACCTTGAACTCACAGAGATCCGGATGCCTCTGCTTCCTGAGTGCTGGGATCAAAGTTGTGCACCACCACACCTAGCCCAAAGTACATTTTACTATTGGAAGTCTTACCTATTATTTAGTATGGTCTGCACAGAAGATTCAAGTAAACTTAATGGTACTTGCAGCTTTATAATTGGAAGGATTTTTGGTTGTTCAAAAGTATTTCCAAAAAGATCCAAATACTCCAAGGATAAATGTTTAAATTCACAAGGTAGATTAAGAAGTTTATTTCGAGCTGCTGACAAAAAACGGAGGTTGGTCAGCTGTCCTATCTTAAAAGGAAACTGAATCAACTCATTATCATCAAGATTTAAATTCATAAGTTCTTGGAGCTGGCAGAACTGCACAGGGAGTGCCTTGATTTTGTTCTTGCTGAGATCTAAACTCCGAAGTGACTTCTGGAGTGTGGACTGGCACAAGGACACACCAAATGATTCCAAGTGATTGTCACTCAGGTTAAGCTCTTGAAGGTAGACGAGGTCTCCAATTGTAACTGGAAGCTTTTTTAGATGATTGTGACTCAAGTCTAACTTCTTAAGGTTTTTTAGGCAAAGCACACGCATATCAACTCGGATAAGCCCACAATAAGAAGCCTGAAGATGTTCCAGAGAATATGGAAAGTTCTTGCGTAGAGGATAGTCCTTTTTGGATGTGATGACCATTTTGGTTTTAAAATTTTCAAATTCTGAAGTCTTCACTGGTGTGAGTGTTGATAGTGGTGTGTTGACAGCACAGCCTCTATGAGCCAGCCTCACTGCTGAAAGGAAACCTTTTAAACTGCCAGAATTGGCCTGAATAAATAAAAATAAGTTATATAATTTTTAAAAAATCCATTTTAGAGAATACATTCATGTTAGTTCTTCCCATAACCAATTCTGCAGTTATTTGTTAATATATTTTATGCGTATGAGTGTTTTGCCTGCATGTACATAAAGTGTACCATGTGCATATAAAACCCACAGAGGTCAAAAGGGCATCATACTCCCTGGAACTGGAGTTAAGGGTGGTTGTTAGCTGCCATGTGGGTGCTGAAAACCAAACCCAGGTCCTCTGCAAGAGTAGCCAGTGCTCTTAACTGATGAGCAATCTCTCTAGCCCCCAATTTTGAAGCTAGATACAAAAGTTACATAATCACTTATTGAAATTGGCTGTAAAAAAATTGTTTTTTGTTGTTGTTTTTTTTTTTTGGAGGACCTTTTTTGGAGACAGGGTCTCCCTGTCTTCCCTGGCCTGGAACTCACTATATAGATCAGGTTGGCTTCGAATTCCACCTGCCTCCTGAATGCTGCAATTAAAGGCATGTGCCACCATGCTTGGCATTAGTTATATATTTCACTTGGTTTAAATTTTAACTCTGAAAGTTTTGGGAGCCCATAAGATCTTTCAGTGGGTAAAAGTGCTTGTTGCCAAGCCTGATAACCTGAATTTGATCTCTCTAGCACACATGTTGGAAGGAGAGAACTGACTCCCAAAGGTTGTCCTCTGATCCCTACCTAAGTACACACACACACACACACACACACACACACACAAGTAAATATAGTAGCAATAACAACAAAGAGGAGCTAGGGATGCAGCTCAGTTGGTAGAGTGCTTATCTATCATTCAGGAAGGCCTGGGTTCAATCCATAACACCACATTAACTGAGCTTAGAAGTGCAAGTATACTTACTGCTCAGTAAGTGGGGGCTGGAAGACATATCTGTATCTAGATATAAAGCTGCACACCTTCAATCCCTACACTCAAGGGGCAGAAGCAGGCAGATCTCTGTGAGATCAAGGCCAATCTATCTGCTCTCCATAGTGAGTTTCAGTCTCAAAAAGACAAAAAAACAAAAACAAAAAAAACTTTACCATCTATACCTCTGACAGAGGGTTAGTAGCCAGAATATGCAAAGAAGTAGAAAAACATAATATCAAAATAAGAATCAACCCAATTAAAAAGTTGGACAAGGAGCTAAACAGGGAATTCTCTGAAGATGAAATGTAATGGCTGAGAAATACTTAAAAATATTCAGTATCTTTAGTCATCAGGGAAATGTATATTAAAACCACTTTTGAGATTTCATCTTACCCCACTCAGAATGGCAAAGATCCAAAAAACAATGACAAATGCTGGCAAGGATGTGGAGAAAGGAACTCGTACTCACTGCTGGTGGGAGTACAAACTGGTGCAGCCACTATGGAAATCAGTTGGAGATTTCTCAAAAAGCTAGAAATTGATTACCATTATGTTCCAGCCATACTAATTGTGGGCATATACCCAAAAGACGCTATACCCTACAACAGAAATACCTGTTCATCCATGATCACTGCTATCCTAGTCATAATAGCCAGAAATTAGAAACAACCTAGATGTCCATCACCTGATGGATAATGAAGGTGTAGCACATATATGCAATGGAAGAGTATTCAGTTCTTTAAAAAGACAAAATTATGAAATTTGCGGGTAAATGGACAGAACCAGAAACAATCATCCTGAGTGAGGTAACCGAGCATGAGAAAGACAAACATCACATATTCTATCTCATAGCTGAATTCTAGCTTTGAAACCTTATATATGCATGTTTCAATTTGAAAATTCACAAAGATTGGGGCTGGAGAGATGGCTCAGTGGTTAAGAGCACTGGCTGTTCTTGCAGAAGACCCAGGTTCGAATTCCAGTACCCACATGGTGGCTAACAACTGTCTGTAACTCCAGTTCCAGGGGATCTGGCACCCTCTTCTGTCCTCTTCAGGCACTGCATGACAAGGGTGCAGTTACACATATGCAGGCATAGCATTAATACACATAAAAAATAAAAATAGGCCAGGCGTGGTGGTGCATACCTGTAGTCCCAGTGCTTGGGAGGCAGAGGCAGGTGGATCTCTGTGAGTTCAAGGCCAGCCTGGTCTATATAGTGAGTTCCAGGCCAGCTGGGACTACAGGGATACCTTGTCTCAAAAAGACCAAAAAATAAATAAATAAATAAAAATAATATAACGAGTTCCAGGCCAGCTGGATCTTAAGGGAAACTATGTCTCAAAAATATCAAAAATAAATAAATCCAAAAAAAAAAGAAAAAGAAAAAAGAAAATTCAGAAAGATCAAGAAACTAATAAACAGGCATGGGTGATGGGTAGAGGCTTCCTGGGAGGGTGGTAGAAAGCAGTCATATGAAGGGAGAAAGGGGAACGTTAGAATAGGAAGGGTTAAATGGGATAGGGAAATGGGAGGGCAGGGCAGAGGAGGGAGTGTGGGCATGGATAAACAACACTAAAGACTTTGGAAACGTACCACTACAGAAACTACAGAAGCTTCTTAAAAGTATATACATGTACATTATAAAAGGAGATTAAAAGGAGTTACCCTATAACAGGGGGACATTGCTCCTTCTAGACACCAGAACTGGATGGTAATATCCTATTGCCAAAGACATTACATATATATGAACTGTAGCACAAACATTAAAGAACAATCAAGCTGGTGCTGACTTCAGAGCCTCATCTCTGCTGGCTAACATCCATAATGCTGAAAAATGCTATTGGAAGGAAAAGATAATCATCAATCCTACCCAGCTCTGAATCCTGTAAACTACAATAACAACTGCCTTGGCAAGATATGCCCTCCAGTGCAGTAGTAGCACAAATATTATGGGAGTAACCAAGCACTCTTTAATGAGATGTAAGGCCATTAAATCACATTATTCACAGTATAAGCCCATACCTGATACTGATATTAGGCTTAAGACAAGCCTGAGGCTAGACAAGTCACAGGACACAGATGTACACTAACACCAGATTTCTACTAAATAGTTACCATATTAAACCAACTCCTAATGACTTGTTATACCCATAGATTAATGCATCTCTTGAATCCCATCAGAGAAGTTTCCTTACACAGCAGATGGTGACTAACAGAGAAAGCCACAGTTGGCCTACGTGCAGAGAACAGGAGTGTATACCCCTGAAAAGGATACTTATATCCAACTAGTACCTCCCAAGGCTCACGGATCATTGCAGAAGAGGACAATAGAAGGGTTGTAAGAGCCAGAGGTGGTTGATGACCACAGGAAACAAGACAACTGGTCAGTTACTCATATGAACTCACAGCAATGGTGACAGCATGCACAAGTCCCAGTCTAGCTAAAACCAGACAAAATCCCACCACAGACATGAGGAAGTAGGTAAGAAACCCGTACCCAACCTAAAGAAACTGTGGCAACCAATGGCTATTCGGAGAGGCCGAGAAAGTCTCTTTCAAGGATGGAACTCTTGGCAAATTAACTAGGCTGTAGTGGATGGACCCACACTGAAGGACATTTGGAGACACAAATTAGACTTTACAGGCCTTCTCTCTCTCTCTCTCTCTCTCTCTCTCTCTCTCTCTCTCTCTCTCTCTCTCTCTCTCTCTCTCTCTCTCTCTCTCTCTCTCTCTCTCTCTCTCTATATATATATATATATATATATATATATGAAAAAAAAAATTATATATACATAAAAGGCTAGTGAGATTGCTCAGCAGGTAAAAGCACTTACTGTATAAGCCTGAGGACCTGGATTCAATCCCCAAACCACAGTGGAAGAACTGACTCCTGAAAGTTGCCCTCCTCTGACCCCCACACACAAAATAATAAAATGAAAAAGTTTTTGAAGAGAAGCATAATGGCCACCTATAATCTCAGCACTTGGGAATAAGAAACAGGAAAACTCTCACAAGCCTGCAACCAGCCTGGATTGTACAATGAGTTCCAGGCCAGCCCAGGCTAGACTGAGATGCTATATCAAAACAAAACAAAATAATAAAGGTCAAAATAGGTAAAACTAGGGCCAGTGAGACAGCTCAGTGAGTAAAGGCACTCATCACTAAGCCGAGTTCAATCCTAAAGACTCACATGGTGGAAGGAGTGAACAGACTTCTACAAATTGTCCTCTGACCTCCACCAGGTAAGCATGCACATACAAACAAGATAAATAAGGAAATGCAGAAGTAATAAAAGATTCTCAAGAGAGCTGTGTGTGGTGGCTCAGGCCTGTAATCCCAGCACTTGAGAGGCTGAAGCAGGATTGCTATCAATTTCAGGTCAGCCTAGGCTATACAAGACCATGTCCCAAAACACAAGACATCTGCAAGAGTCTGTCAAGAGTTGCTCTGTAGGACATCAGGATGCTTTAACAGCCAAGTAGTTTTTCTACTTTTGGAGGTCCCCTATGTAACCTTGGCTGGCCTAGAACTTGCTCTGATCGGGCAGGACTGCAGCTTACAGCAATCCTTCTGCCTCTGGTTTGTGAGTAGTAGGATCACAGGCATGTAATGCTGTACCCAGCTTAATTATTCTATTACTGTTTTTTGGTATGTTTGCTTTCGGTTTTTGTTGTTGATGTTTGTTTGAGTTTTTTTTAAGACAAGGTCCTTGTAGCCCCAGCTGGCCCAAACTCGATATGTAGACCAGGATGGCCTTAATCTTAGAGATCTGGCTACCTCTGCCTCCAGAGTGCTGAAATTAAAGGTGTACACCATTACACCTGGCTTTTTTCTACAATTGTTTTCTTTTAATGAATTGGTATTCTAATTTTAAAAAACTTATTTTTATTTTATGTGTATGAGTCTTTTGCCTGCATATACGTAAGTGTACCTGTGCAGTACAATGTCCATAGAGGCCAGAAAAGGGTGTCAGATTCCCTGGAACTGGAGTTAAGGATGAGTATTAGCCACCATGTAGATGCTGAGAACTGAACCTGGGTCCTCTGCAAGAGCAGCCAGTGTTCTTAACTACTGAGTCATCACTCTAGCCCCTCTATTACTGTTTTTAATACCATACCTTACTTAGACAGATATCTACTGGAGGCTCCTTTAACCGGACAGTGGCTTTTCCCTCATCCACAAATTTAGTGAAGAGATGCTCAATGTTCTCCCTTAGCTGCTTAAAATCAACAGGAAAAAAAAAAAAAAGGACAAAATGAGATATTATTCAACAACACTACAACTAGAATGTGCTAGACTTTTCTCAGACTTTAGTTTACATTTTAGTTCCCAAATCCAAGCGTTTCATAAAGTTTTGTTAGGTGAGCAGTTACACTTTCTACCCAGCTTACAGTGGTATTACTGTTCTATCTTTTCTGGCTCTTTCTAGAGAGGAGAATCCCTCTTACACCCCTTCTTCCATTCCAATTACATGGCTATGGAGAGACTTGCCAGAAGTTCCCTACTTTTATATAAACCTCAGTCCCTTAATCTGGGTTAACATTCCTCCTACCAATTATATGTAAATCCCAGAGCAAAAATCTTGTCTTGTGTATTCCCAGAGATAGAACAGTGATTGACATAACTGGTGCTTAAAATTTTTTCACAACTGATGCTTTGCTTTACACTTCAATAACTATTTACTGAGAAGCCACTACATACCAAGTACTATAAGAACTTGGGACAGCATTAAGTGGCATGATGAGTACACATATAGGGTTGACAGAGGACAGTTATTAATTATAAGCATGACAAATATTAAAGAACCCAGGCAAGGAAACCCTACCTAGTCTATGAGTAGGAAGGAAGATTACTTTTTTTCCCCCTTCATCAAAGAAGATATTTTATTCAAGCTCCTGAAACAAACTTGCAGAGCTATTTGGTTCCAAACTACAGAAGTAGGACCAAATTAAAACATGAAAACAAATAGCTCCATGTAGCAAGAGCTGAATCAATGTAAACATTCCAATGAAACTTCTGTCCCCTGTGCACTTTCCACGTTTAAGAGTCTACCAGGCCAAACCCCTGGCTACCTCTGCCCTGCTCTTCCCCTTTCCTTTCTCTTTGCCTTCAGCTTTTTTCTCTGCCTCTGGTTCATCCACACCGGATACTGTCCATGTTGATCTAGAAGAGTCTTTGCACTTTTCTTAATCTCAGTCTCCATTTTCATGTCATACTTTTCATCTTCCACCACACACTACATTTTCTTTTGGCAATGTTTGGGGACCACCACAGTTGCGATCTTTTGAACATCTTTCATTAAAACATCATCGTCTACTTTGAGAATACTTTAAGTCTGCTGAGCTCTTGTGGGGCATTCTTTTTTCTCTTTTCGGCACATATCTTCCTTTGCCACTTACTCCATAAGTTTTCAGCCATGATTTACCTGGGAAACACAAACATACACCAGGGGCTCCACAGGAGCTCGAACAGGAAGATGACTTTAAAGGTGTGAATCAAGGGATTACAGACAAGTTTGGCAACTGGTGAGGGGTGACAGAGACAGCATTTCAGTAGAAGGGAACATAAACAAAGCCAGGAGGTAAGGGAAAGCCTGGTAAGGAACCAAGAATTTAGGATGACTGAGAGGTCCAGAAAAAAATGGGGGGGGGGGGGGGGCAGATGAGTATGGAGAAGTAACCAGAGATTAGACAGCTAAAAGTGAAAGATTTTGTTATCAGCATTAAGAAGTTTAGATTTCAACCCCAGAACCATGAAATTCACTAAAGGATTTAAGCTAGGAAACATCAGATCTGCATTAATTTTTTTTTTTTCTTATGGGGCTAGAGATGGCTCAATGGCTTAAAAGTACTGGC